TCAACAACAACATCGTTATCAACAGCCACATAATCAACGCTATCAACATCACAAGATCAGCATCACGATCATCACAACCACTGTCACTACAATCATCATCATCATCATAATCATCATCATCATCATCACCATCATCATCGTAATATCATCACGCTCGCCATCATCATCATCATCATCATCATCATCATCATCATCATCACCATTCACATCATCACCAGCATCATCATCGTCACCATCATCAGCGTAATCATCATCATCATCATCGTCACCCTCATCACCATCATCACCATCGTCGACATCATCATCATCAGCAGCAGCAGCATCATCATCGTTCTCATCATCATAGCCACCATCACCGCCATCATCATGATCACCGTCACGATCATCATCACCACCACCAGCCACTAATCACTAACCATCAGCCACTAATTACCAATCACCAATCATCCTCCTCCTCATCCTCATCCTCACCATCATCATCATCATCATCATCATCATCATCATCATCATCATCATTATCATCATCACCATCAGCAACATCATCAGCATCAACATTATCATTCTCCTCCTCATCCTCACCATCATTGATCAACAGCAGCAGCATCATCAACCTCATCATCATCAGCATTATCGTCAGTATCATCTTCATCCTCATCATCATCAGCATCATCGTCATCATCATCATCGTCGTAAGCATCAGCATGAATTATCATCATCATCACCATCATCATCATCACCATCATCACCATCATCATCATCATCATCAGCATCATCATCATCATCGTCATCGTCATCATCCTCATCCCCCTCCACAAGCAACACCAGAGGCAGAGGGATCCGAGGCGCGCAATCCGATCCCGTGCCAGCAGGACAGACCCGACCTGCCAGACAAGCTGGGGGAAAGATCTGAAACGTCAAGAATGAGACGGAGGACGAGGTGGAGGAAAAGGAGACGGAGGAAGAGGACGAGCAGGGAGAGCAGGACGTTCATGAGGAGGGGGGACGAGGGTAAGTCTCACGGTCGAGCTGTAGATCTCCCCCTGAGAGGCCCCACTGCACGGGTGGAAGCGAATTCCCGGCCAGCGCCACCACCTGCTGCTGCTGTTCCTCCTCCTCCTCCTCCTCCTCCTCCTCCTCCTCCTCCTCACCCCCTTCTTATTATCCTCCTCCTCCCCCTCTTCCTCCTCCTCATGCGGGGATCGAAATGTTTGGATTGTTTGTTGCTATTCATGGGCATCCGGAATCCCCAGGGGATATTTCTATGTTGCTCTTCGTGGGCCTTTGGAAGCCTCAGAGGGCCTCTAGACCTCCTTGGACCTTTGGGGACCTCTGGAGGTCTCCTCCCTCTGGTTATCTTCCTCCTCCTCGAGAAGAGCGACGCGGACATGAGGTGCTACCTCAGGTGCTGTGCCCGCAATGGACACCGAGATGATGAACTGACGTGGACCCAAGATGGATTCCGAAGACGACGTTGGACCCCGAGTGGGTCCTGCCGAGTGGGTCCTGAGACCAAAGCTGGTGCCCAACGGAATGAGTGGACCCTGGGTAGAAGCAGACCGATGATGGACCGACGCGGACTGGTGTTGTGCCTGACGTGGACCGACAACGGACCCCGAAAGGATTGACGAGCCCCAATCACACCCCTGGAGGCTCAAGCTTGTTTTTTGCCCTCGCGCAGGCGCTGGGCGCCTCTCGGCCCAGGCCCCCACAGTAGCCAGATGTGGATATCGTGTGTGTGTGTGTGTATGTGTGTGTATGTGTGTGTGTGTGTGTGCGTGCTGTCTGCCAGCGCGTGTCTCTTCACTTACGTGTGCGTGCTCACGCTTACGTATGCTATCGCGCGCGGGCGAAGCGCACGCTCAGGTCGCACCTGCCCACGCGAGCCCGGCGTATAGCGCAATCGCGGCTGAAGGCACGAACAACGGCCCGGCCCGCCCCCACCCACTCGCTCACCCCAGGTGCCCCATGCCGCGAGGCGAGCACCACCCCCCTGTGGGGGGCCATGCAGCGAGGCGTCTTTGGCCTATGTGGCCTCCTCCTCCTCCTCCTCCTCTTCCTCCTCCTCCTCCTCCTTCTCCTCCTCTCCTCCTCCGCCACTCTTCTCATCCTCATCCTCGTTCTACTCCTCCCAATTCGCCTCCCTTTCTTACTCTTGCTCCTCCCCATCCTCCAGATGGAGGTCGGAAAACGACGGAGGAGACGCGTCGACGACGTCTGCGGCGAGCGACCGCCGCACCATGCACTTGTGGACCGGACGGGCATGTCACCTACGAGAGGCCCCCGTGAGGCCCCAAAACGGTGCCGAAGAGGCCTCACAACTCTCACGCGCACGGGCACAGTGGCGGACCCCCCCCCCTGCCCGACCCAAGTGAATCTCGAGGCACACAACGATTCAAAGGGGTCGGCGGATGTGGCGCTGGCCTGTAGAATTAGAATCAGAGAAAATTTTCGCAACGTCTCGCAAATCGACTCCTTTGATAGGGGCCATCTGAGTCCGTCATTGGGGTTGTCTTGGAGCTCTTCCCCGGCCGTCTTCCAGCTCGGTGGGAGATTCCTGAGCCCCTCGTGGGCCGTCTTGGGCCCCTCATGGGCCGTCCTGGGGGGCCCTTGGGTCGCCGAACGCGCCCGGAAGCCTTCGGGGCCGTCTTGGGGCCCCTTGGAATCTTGAGGGCCGTCTTGGAGCTCTGTGGGGCCGTCTTGGGGGCCCTCCTGGTGCCCTCTGGGGCGAACTGGGGGGTCTCCTGGGACAGCTTGGGCGCCCTGGCGCCCGAGCGCGGGCCGAGAAAGAACTCGGAGCAAACCACTCGTGGTTTTCGGTCTCCTGTGCCTCTTCGAACCCTCGTGGGGGCCTCGCTTGACGCCTCGAAGCTCGTGGTGTGGGAGGCCCCGCGGGGCATCCTCAGGGGCGCTGGGGCCGCCTTGGCGGCCCCGGCAGCCGCCAGGGCGGCGCCAGACTTCGCGACGCGCGCGGCCCCAGGCGTGGGGGCGCCAGGGCCCCCCCAGAGCCGATGCTCGCGCACATTCCGAAAACGTACGCGTGCATGCGTGCATGCCCGTCGTGTAGGTTCATACAGATATTTAGTTAAGTGAAGTTAAATGAAGTGTGCGTGTGTGTGTGTGTGTGAGTATGTGAGTGTGTGTGTGTGCGTGTGTGTGTGAGTATGTGTGTGTGTGTGTGTGTGTGTGTGTGTGTGTGTGTGTGTGTGTGTGTGTGTGTGTGTGTGTGCGTGTGTGTTTGTGTTTGTTTGTTTGTTTGTTTGTTTGTTTGTTTGTGTGTGTTTGCGTGTGTGTGTGTGTTCGTGTGTGTGCGTGTGTGTGTGATCGTGGTCTGCTATGCCAGGTGGTAATTCATCTACGCGGGACCCGGCTCAGCGCATCGCGACGGTGTCGTCACCTTGCCGCTGGAAGAATATATGCGTGCGTGTGCGTATTTGGGGGGTTGTGTGCGAATGATAACCGCCACCCATGGCTGGCGGGAAATGGAATCCTCGGAGAACCCGCCACGCCCGAAGCCCGAATGAACGGCAGCGCTGCCTTGCTGCTCCCTGGCCCAAAGAAACAAATCGTTCCTCTCCCCTTCTGGGGAAACCAAGAGGTACTGATACCGCCACTCCCCAGATCGCTCCTGGGGTGCGTTCTGACAGGGATTTCGACGCGAATCCAGCGGTGGCGACGAGGGCCTCCCAGGAGGCAGCAAACGGATAGGGGAAACCGAGCAGAGGGTAGCAGTATGGGTTGACGACCTACCAGACCACCCCAACTTAATCCGAATACCCGAATTTGACCCGAATTTCGGGTTGGGGGGGAGTACGGGTTCCATGTGTTTTCCACTGTTCCCCGACCCCCCCCCCCACACTGGAAATGGAGGGCAAACTGGGGCCTTCGGGTCGGGTGGGGGCGGTTTGGTGGGTGGTGCTGGGTACCTTTCCTCCTCTGCCCTCCCCCCCCCCCCCCGCCGCCCCTCCTCCTGCCACGCCTCCCCAGGTCGCCCGCCCACCCTCGCGCGTCGCGCCGCGCGAGGCGCGACGCGCGGCCACCTGCACGGCCCTCGCGCCGCCATCCTGGAGGAGGACTGGCCTCCAGCGCAGGCCGCGGAGCGCAGTCGTCTTCGCGCCCCCGTGGGGGACCCTACAAATTGGAGGTCGCTTGGGGGGCAGCATTGTTTCCAGGGCCAGATCCCAATACGCTCAGCCGGCGCGCTTGATCCGCCAATAACAATCCTTACGACACCCATTCGCGACAAGTTCGGACCTTAGGTTTGATTGGGCTGCTTAGGTTTGCTCTTACCCTATGAGCAGTGCCTCCTCCTCCGTCGCCCCAGAAACACAGATCGCGTTCGCTGCCCCTCAGCGAGCTGAAACCTACAAGGCTCGTCAAACATAAACAGAGGACTTCTCTATTCGGTGACTGTGGGGTCAGCGCTACTCCAATGCCGACGGATGTCTGTGGACTCGGACGCGGCGTTGTCCAAAAACCTACCCCACCCTCTCAGCATTGAAGAACGCGCTTTCTGACAAGCACCCGAAAGCATCGCGCTCCAGGATTTCGACTTCCATTTCTGGATATGTTTGACGAGGCTTGTGGGAAGTTGGCTGCGCCAAGTGCGAGGGGGTACCATGGACCACGGGTGACTGCGAGGTGCTCTCACCGAAGGTGTCGGCGGCAAAAGACGCCCCTTAAAAAGGCGGCTGCCCGAGCGGTGATTTTCCAGTCTGTCTTGGGGTGCTCTGGCTGGCACACTATTCCGCCATCGGGAAGACCAAAGGAAGCTTTACTGGGTACGGCTTTACCATGACGGCTTCGAGCACGCTGAAGGTAGGAGCGGAGGAGGAGAGCATGCTCATGAAGATCGCCTCTCATTTACCCACGTGCCTTCCCTCAATCATGTTGTGAACTCGCTGCCATCCCATTCCCAACGATCATATATATCAGAACCTACCCTTCCTGCCGTAACTGGCGCTGTGATGAGCAACAGCAGAAAGAGCGAGCCTTCCCCTTCTTTTCCTTCGCCGCCCAGATTGGCGGAGGCGCTCGCTGGTCGCCACTCAATTTTTTCATCTACGAAAGCACCTCCACAGGCAGTGGTCCTGGTAGAGACGCTGAATTCGCTGGACACATGACAAGCCGCGGCCGCATGATGACCAAGCAGCGGGCACGCATGCGCAAGGAACGAAACCAGAACAGAGGGGAGGTGGCGGCTGTGCGCTCCGAGTCAGTTCGTCTGTCTGGCGGGTGTCGCAGAGTGGCCGAAGAGGGCCGATGAGACCGACTCGGCGCCAGGAGCCCCGCAGCTCACCTCGGCAGCCGCGCCTCTCCTCTCTTCATCCTGTGCCCCTGGGCAGCCCAACGAATGCTCACTCGGCGTGGCTCTGGACGGCCGAGGCGAGGGCCGTCCCCGTGACAAGCAGCGCGAGGCAAGACCCCAGGAGGGCGAGGGCCCCGTTGGCGCACTGGTGCAGCTGCGACATGGACGCACCCTGCAGCCTCAGGTGCATGAGCGGCGGCAGCACGAATGCCATGGTCACTTGAGCGAACCCGCCCACAACGGAGATGATGGTGCCGAAATCGTGCAGCTGCGCCACTCCCACGGTGACCAGCAGCATCCCCGTGCGCACCGCGCACCTCCAGGGATCTGCCGCAGCCGTTCTGCCCCCGCCGCCGGCCTGTGGGAGGCACCGGTCCTGGAGCAGCGGCTCCAGCGACTTCTCGACGACCTGGCACCCGGCGGAGAACGCAATCGGATAGGAACAGAGGAGGTCTGCACAAAGCAGCAGCTTTGTGGCGCTGAGCCACCAGGTGCCCGCAGCGATGTCGTTGATCACTATGGACGACACCTGGCCCTGGAAGCACACCAAGCAAACTGCTCCAAAGCAACCGTTGATGAACGAGGCGATGCCGAAGGCCACCAGTACAAGGCACTCAAATCGACCCTGTTTTGCAGACTTCCCCGAAGAAGCCATGATCGGGACGGCCAGGAAATGGATGAGGAACAAGAAGGCGATGGGGCCGAAGCCTGCGACAGCGGAGGCCCAATCGGCTGGGGCGAGCAGGGAGGGCAGCGCCAGTGCTCCCGCTGGCCCACCTTTCGATGCCGCCGCCCCCACGCCGTGGCCCATCAGCGCGTAGCACATCGTCACCCCGTAGCCCAGCAGCACCGCCACGGTGCCAGCCTGAGCCAGCACCGTCAGGGCGGAAAGCCCGCGACCCAGGCAGACCACGGGCAGAAGCACCGCAGCAGTGGCGAGCGCGACGGTGCCCGAGGCCAGGGGGACCTGCAGGGAGCAGAGAGAGGAGGCGATGAAGACCAGGTACGCAGAGCAGACGCCGAGCGAGCAGACGACGACGAGGCAGTACACCACAAGGGCTCCCTGCGCACCGAGAGTGGCCCGAGCCAGGTCCACGTAGGTGCTGCAGCGCTGCCCGAGCTTCGCTTCCACTTGCGCCCGAAGAGCCGAGAGCTGGTGCAGTGTGAAGCAGCTCGCCACCGCGCAGGCGCACATCGAGATCATCCCGACGACGAGGCCCATGCGTGCAAACGCCCACGGTATCGCAAAACCTCCAGCGCCCATGATACACTTCAGCAGGTAGAAGACGACCGAGGAGTCACTGTCGGCGGTTCCCTCGTCGAGAGCCTCCTCTCTGAATCCGGCCTTCGTCCAGCATGCAGGGGCAATGAGTGGCTCCCTCTCGCGCGCATCTCCAGCAGCACGCGCCATTGCCATCTGCTCGTCGAAATATACGAAATACGAATTCTGTCATGCATCTTCACTCACGGGCAAGGGACCTTGCGCCATAGCAGGTAGGATTGAGGGAACGAAGAACCAGGAACAAGCACCGAACATAAGCATGGACAAGTGCAGCTTGTCGGATGACTGTGCAAATATTGAATGCACTCAAAGTGCTTCTCTCTGTCTACACCTCTATCTCGGTCTCAGTTCCTCTTCCCGTGTCTACCTCGTTCTGCGTCTCTACCGCTATCTCTGAGCGGAGAATGAGGCCAGAGCTGGGACGATAGCACCGTTCTTGACGGGGAGCGTGACCGTCGCTAGGACGATGGCACACTTCTGTGCGGGGAATGTGACTGGCGCCGCCATGAGAACCATTCCGAGCCATGAGTATGCCCAGCACTGCAGCGCCTGAGTATAGCCAGCGCTGTGGCGAAAGGACCACTCAGAACTGCGAGTTTGGCCAGCGAAAAAAAGAGCCCCACTCCGAGCTCGGAATGCGGTAGGCCCTCGGGCCTGCATAACGAGCAGGGGCCGACGCCAACGCGAGCCACCCAGCGATTGGACGACGACTCTAACTGGAGAGCACTCGTCGCACGGCGCCTCATGCAGGACCGGCTCTTAGGAGAGAGGACACTACTGTCTTGAATGTGGCTGGCGCTTGGGCGAGAGCCATTGGGCGACGAGGCGACCAACCAAACCACCAGCCCTGATGGAGTGGTCGGCGCCTGGGCGAGAACGCAATTCCAACTTGTGAGTGTGGCCACCGCTAAGGCGCAATAACCACTCAGAGGATGTGGCCAATGCCGAGGCAAGAGCCACCAGGCGGCATGGCAACGAGTTGTGATACGACCTGCCGCATGGCCCGTCGGCGACCAGCCTTTGCTGAGGAGGGAAACCGTTTCCGAGCTGCGGATGTGGCCAGCGCTGAGGTGAGACCATCACTCTACATCCCCAGGACGAAGGGCTTTTCCTTTTGGGCCTGGGCATGAAGCTTTCAACTCTTGTACTGGATCGCATGAGATAAACCTAAGCGGATCCAATTAAGTTGTTGCGGATCCGAGCTTGGTTTGGATTTGTGCTGCGGTGGGCCCACATTCCGTCCGCTCGGATCCGATTTCGGATGCTCTGGATCTGATGTCCGTCCTATTCTTTCACGCGGATCCGATATATACCCTTTCTATGAAATTGTAATATTGAATTATATGATTCAGAGACGGACAGAAATCTGATCCGAGGCAACCAAGCCCGCCGCTGTTCAGATTCTGCGGGGGCGCGGGCTTGGGTTACGAACTGCCACGGACAGGTCGCACGTTGTTGCACGGGCCCCATCAACCCTCCCCGCACGCCTTTCGCACCCGACATGAATGCATCTCCCCTCAACCCCGGCTGCTGCTAGCATCTTGTCCAAACGCCGTGCGTCTGGCGGCGAAGACTCTCCCTCTCTCTCTCGCCAACCAGTTGTCGCCGGTGGCGCCTCAAGAGGGAAATCGTTCGCCCTGCGCAGGTAGTCTGAACTTGGAACGTGTCCCGCGCTAAGACGGGAGCTGCCAATTGACGGCGCGACGAGCATTGGGGGACCAATCAGCGCATGAGCCCTCACTGAGGGGCTGGCGCTGAGGCGGGAGCACCACTCCGATCTGGGAGTGTCGATGAGTGTCGTCACAGTCGAGCCGAGAACACCGCTCCGAGCTTTGGGCGTGGCCAGCGCAGAAGGGACAGCAGGGCGACGAGTCTGGAGACCACCCGCCGCACGAGCCCTGAGAGAGCAGCCTGGGGGCATGCGAGGCCCACGCAAAAGCAAGCGTTCATGAGCGCCCCCGTCGGGGCTGGGAGAGCGGCTGGCGTTGAAGCAAGGGCTGCCGGGCGACAGGGCAACGAGCCCGGAAACCACTGATCCCGCGATGAAGAAGGACAGAGTGGAGTAAGGCGGGCTCTGATTCCACGTGCGAGCTTGGCAGATGGAGGATATGCGGAAGGCCCGCAGGAAGGGGAATCGCACGCATCTCGCACAGTGCAGCTGGGACGGCTGCCTAGGGCTCCCGGCAGCAGCTAGTTTCTTCATTCCTTTTGTTTCGCCTTTGGCGTTGGGCAGAACTAATGGCAGCGGCCATTAGGGGCGAGCACCGAAAACTCGAAACAGCGAGTGGCAACGCTGGCAGGTGGCAATTGGCAGAGGCCAGCAAGGGTGGCAGGGGCCAGTGCCAGCTACAGATAGTGGGCCATCACTCCAGGGCGCTGTCTGCGCACGTGGGGGTTCCCAACGAGTGCGTCTGTGTCCGTCCGCATCTGGACCCCCTCAGACTCGTGCGCAGACCCACCGCTCCTCAAACTCACCTCCCCGCGGGTTCCTGGGTGTTGAACCCGTCACCGTGGCCACTGGATGCCACTGGCACGTCGAGACGTGGCAGGGTGCCAAATGCTGTCTTGCGGGGCTTCTGCCGTCTTCTGATGGACCCCCGCCCTCTGCTCGCGCACGCTCCCGTGCACCGCCCTTCCCGCGACTTCCTGGGCGGCCGGACGCCTCCCTGGCGCGCTCAACAGCATCCAGGACGCCGGACATGGCTTCCCAAACGGCCCAGGCAGGCCACCAAGGTCGCCAGGGTGGACCCAGATGCCTCCAGGGCGGCTGAGTATCTAGGTCACCCGATTAACTTCGCGCATCGCGCCGCGCGATGCGCTTCGCGCGATGATCTTCGCGCCCTCATGCCCTCGCGCCCCCCCCTTGGAGAAGCCGCTCTGGCCCAGGCCGCGACGCGCAAAACGCGATTATCTTCGCACACCTGGGGGTGATCTAGGATACAGCCCTGCTCAGAGTTGAGAAGCACGTCAGATTTCACCCCAAGCATATATAGTCTAGGTCCAGCTGCACAAAAGTTCTACGAAGAAAAAACTCTAAGAAGACGCCCAGGGTCAAGTCCAGGTCCTTCATTCTCTTTAGTGACATCTGAAATCGATTGCTGGTTTCTCTTAAGATTCCTGATGGGCGTATGGACTGAAGACAGCCCAAGATGTCCTCAAGACGGCCAAGACGGTCCCCAGGGCGGCCCAAGAGGTCCACAAGAAAACCTCCAGCAGGACCCGAAGAAGCCAAACTCATTGTTCTTCGGTTGATATTTCATGGATTGTCGTAGTCTCACCTTTTGGGGCTTCCGTCAGCTCAAGACGGCACGATCAGCTTCAATATGGTCTCAAGACGGCCCACGAGGGCCTCAAGGGGGCCCCAAGACGGCTCAAGAGGGTTCCTAGATGGCCAAAAACTGGTCCAAGAAGACCCCAAATCGGCCCAAAGGAGCCCTCAGACGGCCCTCAAGGTATCCTGGAGGGCCCTAAGACGACCCACGGAGCCAAGACGGACTGCGAAAGCGCCTGGACGGCCCAAGAGCGCGCAAAGACGGCTCAAGCAGCCCCCAAGAGCCTTCGAGGTGCCCCCAAGACGCTGCCGAGAGGCCCCTAGAGGCCCCCAAGAGGCAACCAACAGGCCCCCAGGGCCTTCGAGAGGCAGCTGGATATGAACTACACAAGTCCAGCGCGTTGGCCACGTGGATAAGTGGACCCGCGACATGGAAATATTGATGATGAACAACCCTGTCGCAGACCCCATAGTAGGATCCGACTCGATCCGGAGTCCCACGTCGAGCAAAACCGTGCTCCCACGAAAGCGGAGAAAATATCGGCCTGGGAGCATCTTGATCTGCATCTCCATCCTCATACACGTCTCGGCCTGATCATGATCCTGTTCATCCTGATCCTCATCATCATCCTGATCATCACCCTCATCCACATCCTCATCCCTAGCCCCATCACCTTACTCATCACCGTCAGCTCGCATTTGTCCTCCTCCGCCTGGTCATGATCCTGTGCCTGATCTGGATATCCCCGCCGATTCCCCAATCCTCATACATCTATCATTGTCATCATTATCCGAATTCACATCCTCATCTCGCATCCCCCGTCCCTCACCCTCTGCATTTGTCCCTACCTCATCCACATCCTCATTCTCGCCCCGCATCACCATCCCCGCCCCCATCACCATCCCTATCCTCACCCTGATCATGATTCATTGTTGACCTCAACTTCATCATCTGCCTTTGCCTCATCCGCAGAACCACTACTCCACTGGATGCTGGGGCCCTGCGGGGGTCATCCCCAGAAACTGGAAACAGCGGGCCGCATTCGTGGGCGGGGTCAGGCAGGGGCCAGTGGCCAATGGAACACAACTTCAACGAGTCGCAGTGCTGTCAGGGGGGAGGAGGCGAAGAGGGGAGTTGGCAGAGGGGGGCCACAGAACCAGCCGCATGCACCTGGCAACCCAGGCACCTCGAGGCTCTGGGCACGATCACATGTCCACGGGGTTGCTGGGCAGCACGGCGGCAACCAGTCGCACACAGCAGTCTCCGTGCCTCCCCGCCCTTTTTCCCAGCCGCCCCTATCGGATCCCCCGATGTTGATAGATGGCTGGTGGGATAGCAAATCGTAACGCGGGTAGGGGCCCGTAGCAGGGACCAGTGGCGGCTGGTCGCAAAGGCTAGCGGGCTCTTGGGAGTCAAGGCGGCGAGGATTGCAGCCGCCCGCTTCGTGCCAAGGGGGGGGGCGCCCACTGGTAGACCGCGCCGAGGAGGAGAAGCAGCAGCCGACCCAGAACGGCGAGGAGGGGGGGACGAGTGAGCCCGGTTACACGCAAGAGCGGCCCCGGGCAAGAGTGACCTCAGAGGTGCGCGGCTTTCGGGGCGTGGGGCGGGGGCGGGCGGGGGGCCCCAAACCAAACCGAAGAACGCGCAGGCCGCTGCTGTCGCATCGCAGCCAGCGCTCGGGGGGCCCCGGCCGGCCCGCATCAGAGGGCATCCCAGCGCAAGGTCACCCTCACCCGTAGCCGACGCACTGATCCCGGAGCCGCCCCCGCTGCCCCGGCGAGGGGGCGACGGGCCGCGGCGGGCAGCTCGGGCGGCTCGTGCCGCAGGACGCGCTGGAACGCCGCCGGGGATCCGCCGAAGAAGAAGTGCTGCTTGACGGCCCCGAGTCCCTCTGGGCCCATGCCTGGGGGCGGGAGGGGAAGGCGGTTGGGGAGCCGCAATTCGTCCTCGCCCACCTCCG